TCCTCCAATCCGACCCTCAATCAGACACATGCATGCATACACATATTATTGCACTCGTATGCCTTCTCAAGGTCGGATGAGCATGATTGACGTGAGCCCGGATTTCTAACAGATTCCATCTTTTCTCTTGAAAATCACTGCTGGTTTTCCTTCTTTTAAGGCTTCACTCCTTCATTGTATCCTTTAATTGCACACCTTCGTATATCTCGCTTGGGTCAAGGGAGGATATCTATGAAGTCAAATATGTTTGCCTGCGTTGGGCTATCTCATGGGAAACTCCTTGACGCTAAACTAATCTGGCTCACACAAAGCTATTTCTTTGAGCCCTTGTAGTGGAGCTAATTGGTTGCATTTTTGTATATATACATATTATGTGTGTGTGTGGGGGGGGGGTGTTTGTGTGTGTGTGTGTGTGTGTGTGTGTGTGTGTGTGTGTGTGTGTTTAAAGTTATGATTTGGTCTTTCGTTTCTTTTCCCACAAAAAAATGTCTCCTTGTAATATACTGTTATTAATTAAGAAATGGGGCAGGGATGGCAAACAATGGAACTATGATTTTGACTTTTTAAAATTTATAGAATGTATCGCCTTCTCCAGAAACAAATGGGCTTGAAACATTCGATACAAAGTTTGTGTGTGTGAATGTGTGTGTTTATGTTTGTGTGTGTGTATGTGTGTATCTATGTGTCTGTCTGTCTGTCTGTCCGTGTTTTGTGTGTGCATATCTGTCTGTTGTGTTTCGTATCGATGTGTGATTGTATTTGTATATGTTTACATGTATGTGTATGTGTATGTGTGTATGTATATGTATGTGTATATATGTATGTGTATGTGTGGCAGTGTGTGTGTGTGTGTGTGTGTGTGTGTGTGTGTTGTGTGGGTGTATGTGTAAGTGAGTGTATATTATGTGTATGTGTGTATGTGTGTGTGTTGTGTGTGTATTTGTGTGTGTGTATGTGTGTGTATGTGTTTGTCTCTCTGTGTGTATGTCTGCGTGTGTTTGTTCTGTATTTCAAATCAAATTTATGCTATTGACACGTTTGAAGCGTTCTACAAAATGGAATAGTCGCTACTGTTTCTTCAGAACATTAACGTTGCAACTTACCTTTGTGGACGAACGTTCCTCGCAAATTGTAGAGGTTTCTCTGTAGCAGCTCGGTCCTGAATAATGAAGGTGTAATCAAGGTGTAATCAAGAGATCACAGACAGCCACCGACTGATAGTTCCGCACAGCTACTCTCTAATCTGCTTTGCATCCATGGGAAACTGTCTCCCAGCGTCGCTGCATTTGTCTTTGAAAGCCACGAAGACAATTCCAATCAAACCCAGCACTTCAGATCGATAACACCTGATCAAATTATTTTCACCACTAAAGGAACGTGCTGAGTTATGTCCGTGCACTCGTTGTATTCTAGTGAATCACTTTTTTTTATTCATGTCTAAGCACATCGTTTGAAATAAATGTAAATATTTAACGAATTCATTGTCTTTGCACTTCTGATTGCTTTTGGTGTGTTCATCAAACGTCATTGGATTAACTAGTGCGATGTGCTTGTGTTTGTCTCCATTTAGCTTATTTTTTCAGGCAAAAATTTATCAAAACTTACTAAAGCAACAAAACATGTCCTGTGAGAAAAGCAAAACACAAATCAACAAATCATTTCTACAGTTTTCTCTCATTAACTCACCCTGGACGCACAGTGATTGTTCTCACCAATGTAGGCTGTGGTACGCGATAAAACAATGTTTTTTCTATCTTTGTCCCCGCTCACTATCCTGCTATTGAGGTGTGGCTAACGGCACTGTGGTATTGTGTGACGGATCCAGTGTGGGGCAGGAGAGAACAAGCGTGGTTGGAGGGAGGGAACACTCACTGTTTGCCCGCCTCTCTTCTTTCTCGCGTGCGTGTTGCTTGAACCATCAGCGCTGACCCACCCCTTCCCTCCCCCCTTCTATTCCCCACTCCTGCCTCCCCGCCCCATCTCCTTTTTTTTTTACCCCAAGAGATGCTGCCACATCTACCCTAGACATCTCACCCACCCCACACCCCTTTTCCTGACAAGCTTCATCGTGTATTATTCGGTTGTTGCTGGGGTTGGTTGTTTTTTTGTTTTTTTTTGGGGGGGGGGGATTTTAAAAAATATCAGACGGCCTCCTTTGCTACACCCGCCCCCTATATATACATACCCC